CAAAATCCACTAAGCCAGTATGAGAGAATGACAATAAAATTATATCAGGATGGATATGAAAATTCGAAGAATATTTTATCAAGGAGGAGGTTTGTGCAAACTTACTAATTCATTTGAAGTTGGAATTCATCATGAACTGGCATCACTCGGAGGAACATTAGAAACCTTGGAGCACTGGATAGCTGTTTCCTACTGGTATATGAGACTCCTCACCAGTGTGCACCCGTGACCCCACCACGCTAGGGTTCGAACCCAAAACCTTCAGGTTCCATGGCCAGCACGTTATCATTAAGCCATTGACTCGGCGAAATCCATTTGTCCATGTTTCCAACTTCTCTCAGTTCACTACATAACCCGACCTACATACAATGTCGTCGTTGAGTAACTGTCTTCATGTTGGACTTGGCTGACTTCACAGGTCACGACTTATCATTGGAACTTCAGAAATCACCTCTCGAAGCTAGTCACCAATAGCGCTAGATTAATTTTATCTCGAGGTTTAAGAATATTTATTAATTGATTTTAGGTTGGGATTCATCTTGGGCTGAAATCAATTACAGGAACATTAGAAACCTTGGAGCACTGGATAGCTGTTTCGTCGAAGTACAGGACTCTTCAGCACTGCGCACCCATGACCCCGCCATGCTAGGGTTCGAACCCAGAACCTTCAAGTTCCATGGCCAACAAGTTACCATTGAGCCACTGGCTTGGCGGAATCCAGTGCTCCACATTTCCAAGGATTTACCACTTTATCTTAATGATGGAATAATAAAGAAATACATTCAGAGTTCTTTAACCTTTTTGCTTGATGTACTTAGAATCAATGTTTGCATGTATTCAGTAGCTTAGTTTGACTGAACTTTAGTAGCAATTATCTTGATACGTGAACTACAATACATCGGAAAAACAAAGATAATGATTATTATTTGTTGGTGCATGTAATCCTCTCGGATGTCTGTCTATTATAACAATAAATATTCAGGCAAAACCCAGGCATCCGCGTAGGAGCCCTTAAGCCAACAGAAGTCGACCTATTAGATCCACTATAACAACGTATCAACAAATAGTAATAACTAATACCCGTTTTACAAGAGACGGCTATTATGCCTCAGTGGCCTAGTGGATAACGCTTTGGCGTTTGTAGCGATGGGTACGAAGTCCGAGTCAGGGTGGGTGAGTACTGCAAAGCAGTCGAACGGCAGTCTGCAACTCATGACTAGAGATTTTCAATTTCTTGTTTTAGTAAGAAAATCAGCTCGCCTTAGCAGAAATGCGGTCGAATATGTCGCTCACAATCGAGTTCGTGATTATCATTTCTTTCGAAGAGATGTACTTGGTGGAGAACCTTGTAGATGTAGGTGGCATAGGTCACCTGCCCCCCTCTTCTTCTTCTTGTCAACCTTCAGCAACTTTGCCTTCGAAGTCTTCTTTGCAACCTTCCGAGAAGCAACCTTTGGCCGCATTCTTCGATAGATGAGTATTTGACTTTTAAGAGGTTTAAACTCCAGTCGACTTACTTTCAGCCTCGGTAACCAGGTAGTGAATCACAGTAACCGTAACACAATAAATGTGCATTATCATGCATTGTATCGAGTTGCAATGATTACGAAAAGTAATTGACCATCAATTGCGAACATTGAAATGTTGGCTTACACATGGATACTTTATTTTGCAACAGAAATGGCAGTTAGTAACGTTACTCAAGTGATTCTAAATGGATATCATGAATTGTGGTACTATCGGTCTGTTTTCTCTAGGTAAAAAATAGGTTAATACTCGCGTCAATTCAATTTCTCACTACATAAATAGTTCAACTCAATATGAATTCTAGCTTTGAGTGGAATAGTTGTGGCAAAATTTTCGACAGGTTTCACTGGTTTTTGCAGCTAAATGTATTTTTTCACTTATAATTAATCTGCAAACTCAACAGCGAAGAATCAATCTGTATTTTTACGATCAACTATGGTCTTTCTACATCTTCCATTTTATTGCCTTGCTACTTGATATGCTGATATGAGGTGTGGCGACTTAAACCGTTGTGTGGTAATGTTAATATTGATTGATTGATAAATTTCTTGATACGAATTCCAACTCCTAGAGACCTAAAAGTATTTTCACCATAAAAATGATGAAAAGCAATAAGCACTCGACTTGATAATCGCTAAAGATAATTTTCAAAACTGCAATTCCATCCAATCCAATGAGGGTGGCCTAACAGAATCAGAAACCTCAAACAAATGAAGTTGATTGTTTACGTTGTATTCAAAACCAGAAGGAATGAAACCAAAAACCAATCAATCATGATTGGATGTTTAAGCCCTTAACGTCTCATGAGTGAGCAGTCTACTTTCGTCTTCTCTTTTAACCAGTTGATGTAATGTCAGTGAAAGCGGGTTCAACTCGAACGTAGTAACTCGTAGAATAACAATAGTTATGACCAGCGTTGATCGTTTCCCCCAGGAAATTCAATCTGACGTCAAGACCGGAAAAAGCAGCCAAACTACCAAGTCAAGAAAATAACAGGACGTCTACATCTCCCAGCAGTCAGGGACTTCATCGACTAGTGCCAGGTCTGGTCACCCTGAACCCCGTTTCAACTTAATCCAACTTCCTATGACATGTCGAAGTAGGTGTCGGCTCGGCATGCGCAGTAGATGGCCAAGCTATCTCCGTCGATTAAAGTCCACAACCCTACAAATCGACTACTATTTGCCTGACTTTAATATTGCTCACACGTGATTCCACCGAACCCGAGTAATGTTGCAAAGATCCCTGTGATCAAAACCCTCCAATGTTTTCTACTTTTAGCGGCCATTGTCTCACACCCGTATAACAAGAAAGAACGAACTCCAATTCAGCATACTCGTCCTTCAATAGACTGTCGGATATCTTGCCAGTCGACGCCATAGATGACGCAAGTTGGCAAATGTCAAACACGACTTCTGTATCCAAGCTGAGATTGAGTCAATAACCATCCCCTTTGCGCTGATGCAATTCCCTAAAGTAAATGAAATGGTCGACACATTTCACCACTTCACTCCCTATTATTAAACTAAGAGTAGTTGCAGCAGACCAGTCCTATAACATCATCTTACATTTGACAGGGATGAACGAAACGCATGCCAAACATACTCAGATTTCTGCTGAACGCGTCCAAAAGACCTTGCATTTTGTCAGCATCTACATCCAGTAGTACAATAGCGTTTGCATACTCCAAGTCAACCAGATGACCTCTCGGGAGTGGATTGATCCCGGTGAAATCAGTTTATGTCTATTGGTACGTCTATAACGAAGTTGAACAAGAACGGTGAAAGTGGGAATTTCTGGCGAACACCACTAGTGGTCGTCAATTCAAATGACAACTCTACATGAGACCTGACACGGCTGCGTGAGTTCGAGTATAGAGCTTTGATAAGCATTATATACTTGCTCGGTACTCTCTTCACAGACACTGTCACAACACCCCGCAGCCAAAAGGGTCAAATGACACTTTCAGATCAAGAAATATAGCAAGTGTTGACCGCCAGTGAGTATACCTGTGTTCTAGAACCTGTCCGAGGGTGAAAATAAGATCGATGCACCCTAGTCCATATCTTCAACCTGCCTGGTTTTCTCAAGTTCCAAGCAGGCGTCGGATAACTATGAACACTCGGATCTTGGACACAATATTAGTCAAACTAGTTCCCTTATGATTATCACAAGACCTCTCTCCCTTCTTATAGACTGCGATGATCGGCGAAGAACACCAGTTTGATGGCACTACCTCGGATTACTATACACTACGCAGTATTTCCGTCACTTTAATTAGCAACTGCTTACCTTCTTCCTCGAAAACGTCGGGTGGCAAACTGACAGGTCCTGCTGCCTTGCGTTGTTCCAGGTTCGATACAACTTTCTCAAATTCAAGAAGAGTCTGGGGATTTACATCTACGTCCCATACAGGTTCAAGCTGAATGTTCCTGTGGGCCACTTGAACTATGCTTTAAAGTCTTCTATGCAACGTTCTAGTTGCCTGTCCTGAGACGTTATCAGAGTCACATCCTCTTTGGTGACGGCTTCGTTCACCATCGTCTACTTCTTGCCGATATCCTTAATAAGCTTAAATAATTTCCGAGTATAACCTAATGCTGATGCCTTTTCCATCTCTCTTTTGCTTTCGCTACCAATCACTGCTCGCGATCATTGCAAAGACTCTTAATCAATCTACGTTTAAGGTGCTTTCGCTCTTCATCTCGGTCAGAGACAGTCAGTTGGAATCAATCTTCTCGCATCGACTAGTTCAGATGACGTTGCTGAAATACAACAACATTTTCTAACTATCAGAAGTAGGCTGCCAATTAACTTTACAACTCTTCTTACACTAGACATATCATGCCAGATTTCCTTCAGGATGAGCATTGTTGTCCCATTCAGATAAATACTTAGCTGATTCCTCCCGAAATATGTACTTCAGGTTCTCATCTTCTAATCGAGCACATACAGGCTAAACTGACACCTGTTTTTTGCGACCATTAAGGTGCAAACATAAACGAGCCCGCATTAGCGCGTGATCAGAGTTCGAACAGGCACTCCAGGAAGATCGGTAACCCTCCATTGAACTCTCCAACGATGGCCTATAGCAATGTGATCTATCTGTGTTCATCGTAGGTGGATGCCATGTGAGATAGTGTCTCTCCTTATGCTTGAAGTTGGTCCTGGTCAGAAAAAGTGATTGTCAGAACAGAATTACGAAAGACGAATACCCTTGTTGGTTCGCTGATATGAGATTCCGTAGATACCTCCAAGATGTACTCAACTTATATATATATATATATATATATATATATATATATATATATATATATATATATATATATATATAAAGAAGGAAGAAAATGATATCAAAAGATAACAATTACAACAAACCCTTAGTTTAATTTCTTCTGTTAATGAAAGAATACGCATTTCTGCCTGACGATGATCATAATGTAATTTGTCACGTTCTCTTTGATAGTAATTTCTTAGATTTCTTGGTTGATAAGTGCATCTTGTAGTTTTTTTTCACTAACAGATATCAGGTTAGTAATCTTCTCTTGCATAACAGAAACATCAGAACTAATTTCATTCAAATTTTCTTGAAGTGAATCTTGTTTCTGCAAAGAAATTATCAACAATAAAATTAATTATTAGTGAGACTATTTTAAAAATAGTCATTTTATTATCAATACTGGGTGATAACCTTGGTCGCAACAGGAATCAAACTGTCCATCTCTGGATACCTGCCCCACGCTCTACTAACTGAGATACCATACCAGCTGCTGAACAGGTCATTACGCCATCTATTTCAATCCCTGAGCAGTTTTTCCTAGTAGTGAAGTAAGTGCGTAATAAGTAACCTTCCGTTCCTTATTCATTATCATGTTAGCTGCTTAGTTGGCTTTACCATCAATCCTCACCCCGTATCAATATCAATCTGTGACATCATGGCCACGTCAGACACTTTCATCGTCCCCCTTTCTCATTCATGTCGGTTTAGATCAGAATGAGATTTGGTTAGGAAGCTAGTGTGATGACGACGAACGAACAGTTACGTGTCAACCATATAAAACAATCAATGATTGAAATGAACACCTGGTAAACATATTGATCTTATTGCTCATTTGCCAAAAAGCTAGACTGTTAATCTGGAGATCTATGCTAATCAAATCCTGTCATAAACCAAGTTATCATTAGGCCTTCAGTTATAACCCTGTAATCATTTTTTTGAAAAAAGGGTGTCATCGAAGTGGTCTAGGAACTTTTCCCCATAACGGTATACAATATAACTACGAAAGGAAGATAATGGTGGGTACTTAGAAAATTACTACTTACAAAAACCAATCAGGAAATGATAACTATCGTCACACATCTTACCCTTCAGTATTAGATCAAATGTCTAGACGATTAAGTGTGGTCACTAGGCTAACATATTCGACTTTGCAGTTCAGTAACAACCTGGTATTGGATCTATCCTTGAATGCTAAGCGCTGAACGATTTTAATTCATTTTTGAGAAAAGGTATAAACTTCCTTGAGACAATATGCATACTTTCCCACAGACAACCAGTGGAAGGAAAACAGCTTTAGGATTTCGTAAAAATAACCATTGAGGGTTCAACACCAGAATCCTTATAATTTACACTCAAGAAAAACACTTTATCAGGTTAGTCGCAATGCATGACCATTTCATCACAATAAAACGGAAATACAAATTGGCAGAATAAATTTTAGATTTAAAAGAGTCCCATACTCAGAAGAAACAGCTGTCTAGTGCTCCAAGGTTCCTAATATTCCACCAAATGATGTCAGTCCATGGTGAATCCCAACCTAAAATCAATTAATAAATATTCTTAAACCTCGAGATAAAACTAATCTAGTGCTATTGGTGACTAGCTTCGAGAAGTGATTTCTGAAGTTCCAATGATAAGTCGTGACCTGTGAAGTCAACTTAGTCCAACATGAAGACAGTTACTCAACGACGACATTGTATGTAGGTCGCGCTATGTAGTGAACTGAGAGAAGTTGGAAACATGGACAAATGGATTTCGCCGAGTCAATGGCTTAATGATAACGTGCTGGCCATGGAACCTGAAGGTTTTGGGTTCGAACCCTGGCGTGGTGGGGTCACGGATGCACACTGGTGAGGAGTCCCATATACCAGTAGGAAACAGCTATCCAGTGCTCTCAAGTTTCCAATGTTCCTTCAACTGATATAAATCCATGACGAATAACCAATTAAAAGATGAATAAATAAATAACCTATTCAATAAACAGTTAACTTCGTAAAATTACATAGTACATTTAGTTGATAAGGCAGAAAAGAGACCGTATTTCTATTCAATTTATCTGAAACTCATAAGTATTGTAGTCTGGATGAAATTGTGTCCAGTCTGCTATCTTCCGTAAAAACCACAGCTAATGTTGATAAAACACAATTCATTTCATTGTCATGATGACGACTATAACATGACAGTGAAAGGGATAAAGTAATAATCAAGCTCTCCAACACAGTTGGTGAGTATGCTTATATTCATAATATTAATTGACTGTCTAATGGGATGGAAAATAGCTGAACGAAGTGGAAGACAAATGGTACAATTGATGATTACAGATACACATCATCCGATCCCGAAATACAAATTCATGATTATTAATCAAAATAGAAAGACAGAAAGCATACTGAAGACACAACACATGACAACGTTAACAACACCAACTGAAAAATCAAGCAGACGAGGCAAAGAACAACAAAGAAAACCTCTCAGGAAAAAACTGTCCAAAATCTCAGAAACGCCTACAACCAAGGAAAAAACACGACTGTGCTCCCGACTCATCAAAACAACTACTAACTACATTGGAAGAACTTCTTCAGAAAGGATTGAATTACAACACACAAGATGCCTCGAAACCAGAATTTCTCGCCACGTTGGAATCATCCCTCAAAACATCAGGATTAAATAAAATCAATCAGAAAGAAATACGGCAAACAATCGTACCACTGACCAGGCAGAAGAGACATCACGCTCAAACAAACACTCAACAACAAAAAACATTAAAAAGACTGAAGAACAAGAAAGACATCGTTATACTTCCAGGAGACAAACGACGCACTACAGCAGTCAGCAAGAAAGATGACTACATCAAGAAGGCAGAGGATTTACTCAAAGACGAAAACGTATACCAACCAACTGAAAACAACCTTATCCAAAAGTTCAACAACCAGATCAATAAAACTTGAACAAAATCTTCAAAGCAGAAGGAATAACAAAGCAAGACAATTGGAGAATGAAATCGAATGGACCTGTCCTTCCTCGGTTCTACGGCAGACCAAAACTACACAAACCAGATATTCCTCTACAACCAACAATCTCACTTCCAGGCACTCCAACATACAACATATCAAGAGAACTTTCGAGAAAGCTGAAACACCTTGTTCAATCAAGCGGACACTCCATCAAGTCATCGAGGGAATTCTTAGAAAACATCAAAAGCATTAATACAGAAAACGACGAATTATTGGTATCCTTCGATGTCACAACACTATACACATTCATCGAAACCCAACTGACCAAGGAAACTATATCCCTCCTAATCAATGAAAACACAAAACTTTCACAATGCACAAAACTTAAATCTTCAAATCTGATGGAAATCATCGATCTTCACCTGACAACAAACTTTCAATTCAATTGCAAGATACACAAACACATGAAACGAACTCCAACAGAGTCACCGATATCCGGAATAATCGCAGAAACCGTGATGCAGAAACTCGAAGATATCACTTTACCCGTGATTGAACAAAAAGATGGATTCGCTATTTAGACGATACTTTTGTCATCATTAAAAATGATGATATAGAAAACACCCACAATTCGATCAACAACAACGTTTTCAGTGACATCAAATTCACAGTGAATAAGCAGTCAAATAACCAATCACTATTCCCGATGTTTTAGTCAGTAGGACGAATGGCAGAAAGCTGGAAACCCAAGTGTACAGGAAGCCAACACACACTGACCAAATCCTCAACTACACAGTAGCGGAAACAACCAAACAACGCACAAAATTAGTTACGTCCAGACTCTATTCAAAACAGCAACAACAACAACACAAATACACACACTGCAGTAAAAAAGAACTTCACACAGAAACGAAGAAAATTAATTCATATCAATTCTAAACAAGAACGGCTACCCACCCATGAAAGTTTATCAGATAATGCCCATCCCCTACATCATCATCTACAAAGTCATCCACACAAATCACAACAAGATTACTGACACGACCACATTTGGTGTGTCTCATTAACTAACAAATTCCCTCCAAACACCATTGTGTAGACCAAAGAAAGCAACAAACAAAAAAGATAAACCAAACATTATTTACAAAATCAACTACAATAACTGTAATCAACACCACATTGGACAAACTGGTCGCCATATTCACCTTCGTCTACATAAACACTAACTGGCTATTCAACGTCACACACAACATTTCATCACTCATTTCAATCCACATAGATAACAACTATCAACATAAATTCCATTTTCACAATGTAGAAATCTTCGACAGAGGAAACACTAAAAATATAAGAGAATTCCTAGAAATTCGGCATTCAGGTCAGTCAGTAATCAATACAGAGATGTTTAGACATAGACTCAATCTATCAACCAATGAGGAAAAATGATAAATGAGAGAAAGGTAAGAGATCGAGTAGAGGAACAGCCAACAGGGAAATCTATGCAGTCCGACGATGACACAACAATCAAAGGAAACAACCAATCACAAACCACTTCGTCGGGGCAGGACACTAAATCCTCAGAAGAGATGATGACAGATCACTTCATACTGAAGTTAGTGATGATGACGTCCGTCTAGAAAGACGATGAAACTTCTATAACTAAATAACCCATCTAGCTCACAGAACACAATACAACCAATACCATACATGTTAGTGATTAATATGCACAGCGATATGAATCAACCATCCACTTTCATATGTACAGTGATAATAAGCGCAACGAAAGTAAAATTTAGTTGATGAGAGAACTCTGGTTAACTACTCGTTAGATTAACAGGTCTATTTATGATCTACTTAATAAGCTACAAACTTGATTGTTTATCGTTTTTCAGTCTCATTTAAATCATTTCGGGGTTATACTGAGTTGTAAATTGAATAAATGATACACTCAACTGCTTATTTTAAAATCATTGATATATTTGCTCTTCAGCTGGAATTAATATAAGTTTCACAATAATCGAAATTTTCTTTTACCTTCAATGAAATTAGTTTGTTACTCAATGCAACTACAGATAAACATACCAAATGTTTGAAACTTTCCTACTTAGTCTCGATTTTGACAGGTTTCCTTTTATCTTGCACATAATGATAAATCTCCAACAATTATTATTATCTTTATTTGTCCCTTGGGTTACTAATGGAACATAGGGCTTCACTAACACGTCTCCATTCCACTCTGTTCTCGGAAATCTTTTGAACCTGGCTCCACGTCAGCCCACGAGCTCTCATTTCCTCCTCGCACGATCTTCTCCATGTCACCTCCTCCTTGGACGTCCGACTCGTCGCTTCCCATCTGGGTTCCACTCGAGGGCCTGACCCGGAGTGTGATGTCCCCAGTCGGTCTTCTCAGTGTATGCCCAATACATCTCCACTTCCTTCTGCATATTTGTTGGGCGATAGTTTCTTGGTTGGTTCGCTGCCAGAGTTTCTTGTTGCTTATTCTTTCTGGCCATCTGATCTGTGGTCTATCACCAGCTTCCTTGAAGGCTTTTAACTTGATTTGGAAGGTAGGTTCCTTGCACTAGACAGTAAGTGGTTTGAACCTACATCTGCTCCTCTTCTTGACCTTGTGTCAAGTAGGCTGCATCTCCACTTTCTTCACATTGACATAAAGTCGATCTGATGAAATCCATGTCGCTTTGTGGATATCCTTGTGCTTGAACACACTGCCTCGCCTCCAATCACCAAATCGTTGAATGCACAGAATTCTGTAAACAATTCTCCATTCTCATTCATTTCACCTAGCGCCTCTCGACCCATGGTTAGTTCTCTTCCCGTGTTGTCCCCTCCCAGTTTGGCATTCATGTCGCCCATTAGAATTTTGATGTCGCCAACTGAGGTGGTGTCTTTTCCAGTGTTGATTGCAGTTGTCTGTAGAATTCCTCCTCCTTCTCTTGCTCTGCATTATTTGTAGGTGCATAGCATTGTATGATTGTGACCTTCCTTCCTTTTGAGTTGAACCTTCCTGTCATGAACCTGTAGGAGGAGATTGGTTCCCACTGCATGAGAGAGAGAGAGCCTTCGATGCTCTTGTGAGGGGACATCATGAGAGCCACTCGATAACTCAGTGTGCTCGTGGTTGTCGTCTAGGTGACAATATCGGAGTAGATTATTGATTCTCCAGTTGGCAGTTTGGAGATCCACTCCATTCCATCTTCTTTCGCAAATTCCTAACACTTCAATGTGATACCTTCTCATCTCTTTTGCAATCTGGGCTGCCTTGCTTGGTTCAAACATGGTGCGGACATTCCATGTCCCCATGTTTACTTTTGCTTTCGTCGAGAGAAGAGAAGACACATTGGCGAATTGGCTTCCTGCAGGCTTTCACCAACTGGCGTCATTTCGTCACGACGATTCCAGTAAGGAATAATTTTGTTATTATTTTTTATATTTTGTTTGTGCTTTGAAGTTTGTTTAGTGGTTAGATTTGTTTTACGGGGAAGGGTTGCTAGTCCTATGCCCAACCTTCCCTCTTTACCCGGGCTTACGACCAGCTAGTAACTAGTGAACTGTGAAAGTAATAAATAGTATTAAAAACTAAATCGAAAAATTATTAATCCATTTTCCTCTTTTTTACATACAATCAAAATACACCAAACAAACTTACCTTTCTAGCCAACTCAACAACTGATTGTGCACGTTCAATACGCCGTACCATACCTGTATACACTGTATGCATTTGTGCAGCCTGATCAACTGATTCATCACGTTCTTGAACTAGGTGTAACAATTTTTCTGTATCTATTCTTTTAGATTCAGAAATAATTGTTGCAGAGTCCAAAAACGTAGATCGATAATCATTCAGTACAGATCTGAATAAATGAAAATGTAGTAATCAGCCTTTTTTTATCAAATTGAAAATGGTTGTTTCATGCAGTAAATAAAAGTAATACAAAATCCGATAGGAGTGTAGCTCATGACAGCATACTTCATATCAGTACATGAAGAGGAAACCCAACACAAGAAGAGAAACAAACAAGTAAATACAATGATAAACAACACTGCGAGAACAACCTAAACATCAAACGAGTAAGTAGAGCATGTCAAAAATACTTAGATGAGGATAAGGTGAAGATAATGACAATATGCTGGTAAGATCAATTTTAAGCCGAATACTTTTGATAACCTTCAACCACACTAACGTATTAAAAAGTCGAGTAACATTATGAAGATGTTCCATATTAGATGCATGCAGTGAATATCCGTAACTTGATAACTGGTTTGTCTCTTTGATAGATGATAACTAACCATATCTTTTTCTAAAATGAGATAAGATAATGAAATCAGATTATTTGGATAAATGCAGCATGAGAACGGGTTCAGATGTGTTTAGACCTCAAGGTGATAGAAGAAGTGATTGTACGATTGAAACATCGACAGGACAATACCTTAACTATAACAGCTTTCATCTTACCAGCTATAAGTATGGACTAGTTAAAAGACTTTACAACAAAGTTAGGAACTTATGTTCTGAGGACATTACAACTAAGAAGTATCTATGACGAAATTGATATCCTAAGAAATTAAATATGAAATATGGAAAACAACAGATCTTGAGAAACAAACTGTCGAAAGGACGGTTTTCATTCATCTTACATTCAAGTGGGATACAGTATTCAGGAGAATAAACAGAAAAATTAGAAGAACATTGAAAATGAGCTTTCCAACATGGACTTGTGATAGGAAGAGGGCATTAACTGGGTTCACTGAGGATATCCCCAAGAAACGAAATAAAGTTCTAACCAGTGTTATTCCCGAACACCTAGTAGATAAAGAACATCAGATTGAAACCTCGAATGTTTTTTTAAAATCTCCGGATTACTCCGCTTCGTGGAAGTGATTGCCATAAAACATTTTCAATCGGACCTATGCTTACAGAAGGAGAGTATGGTTAATGTCTCACTACCTTTGAGACTACAATTTATTACTGTTTCATCTTAATTACATAACTCTTTAGTTATTTATTATTACCTTATCTCATATTTCTAATCTCTGTGTTATTAATTCTTTTACATATTATACAGATTTTCTGTGATTTTGCTGTTTGCCTAAAGATTAGTGACTTCTTAATAACCATTATATGCAGTATAAGTAGATATATCGTTTCACTTGGTGACCACCGAAATCAAACCATCGATGGACACAGGTAGATGGTATTGCTATAAGTCATTGCTGGAGATGATCAGTGGAAGATTGCCACCCTTTCTGTAGTGCCTGTTTGAATTCTGATCACATGTTAGGACAGGATCGTGTACGTGTGAACGAATGTCACTCTTATAGGAGTACTCGCTTGAAATTCGACGGTGTGTTGGCATGGGAGTGCTTACGACGTTATGGTTATGTGCTGACCGTGAGACCTGAAGACGCCAGAGTCCACATCTCAAGCGGTCACAGGTGACCGCTGACGAAGCGTCGCATACCAGAACAAAACAGTTTTCAGTGCTACCAGGTTGCTAATGTCTCCCCAAACCAGGAAAGTCCATGGTGAAAACTAACCACACATCTTATTATGTTTCTGCACTTATCCATCCAAATCAACATACGATCAGGCACTACAGAGTAGCGGTCTCAGTACATCAAGTAAAAAAACAGTGAAGTGCAAGATAAAGAAAAGTCAGTCAAAAATATATATAAAGTAAGAGAAGAGAGAAAAGAAAAATGAAAAAAGGTGAGATTCGGTATAACGCTAAGATGAGGATAATGTGCGCATACATCTGCACCACTGACATACCTTCTCAGCCTATATCACCTACAGTTTACAAACACTGGTTTCGCTTCTCTCGTACACATCAACCGCTTAGTCTGCATCACCTTCACATGACTAAGACCAACAGTCAAACACTTCATACATTCATACCATCTTTCAGTCTGGTCGACAACCACCAGTCTTCTTAAGGTCTGAACCTACTTCACCCAACTCTGTGTGACGAGCGATCGGTGACTAGGCATACCTGCCACCTAACACATGTCCAAACTATCTCAGTCGATGAGCTCTACAACCTTCATCAACTCACCTACTGACTTACCTCTTCTCCCTAAAACACTACTCCTGAATTGTGTTATTCATGCGGTGACACCACGGAATACGGTCTATACTGCGAAGGTAACGGTGGTCAAACACCTGAAGCCTTCTCATATTTCCTACTTTCAATGCCCATGTTTCACAGTCATACAGTACAATAGGGTGGACTGTTGAGCATAACACGCAATCCTGAACAGACAATTAGAAATCGTGGCGGCACCACAGGTGGCATAGGTTGGAAAAAGCCAACCGAGTCTTTCGTATTCCTGCAGAAATTTCGTCAGACACTGAGCCACTAGGGCTGAACCCACTTCCCATCACACTCACTCTTTATCACTAGCCGAGGCACTGTTGAAGACCAATCCTCGAGCAACAATTTGCATTTGAATGGTGAGAAATGCATCCCAAACATTATCAAGCTGCCACACAAAGTGTCGAGAAGACTCTGTACGTTGTCAGCGTCTTCACCTAACACGACTATGTCATCTGCGTATTCTAGATCTAATGGAAATTCCCCAGCGATTAGATCAACCTCTGAAGTAACATTTTAAAGACATACAGTAAACCTTAATACCATAAACTAACACTTACTTCCAAATTTCTGCTCGATTTCTCAAAATATGAATTTGATCGCGTAAATCTTGTGTAGTTTGTTCAACATCTTCAATAACGTCATGACTAGCATCAGATGTATTGAATGATGTAGTTTTTATTGAGACTGTTTCTTGCTTTTCATCTTGTAATTCATGTGACAATAAATCTCTATTATTATCAAAAGAATATTGACTGCCGTTACAATTGTTAGATATATTATGATTACTATGCAATTCTTTTAAAATTGGTCGAGTTTCTGAAGTTGACATGAATGAGTCAGTATAACTTTGCATGCTGATATCTCCAATTTCTTTATGGATAACCTTTTTTCAATTATACAAAGTATATACATATGTAATAAAAGGATCGCTATTTTAAAAAATGCTGGAAAGTTTTGTACTAAAAACAATGAATGAAAATTCAATTAATACTACTTTTAACCAATAAACATTCAATTTAATGTGTTGAAAAGTAATGAATAGCTATTTTATTCCAGTTTACAAAGCTTAATTTATCTATCCTCTAGGTATCTTCACCTAATGAAAGCTTGATACAAGTATACGATAATGAATAAATAAACATGGAATACTTTACTGAAGAATATCCTACTCCTAGTGACATCATATAGTCAATCTAGATAGTGTTGAACGACAGTATGATATTGAAATGGTGGACATATTTGTAGCCCAGGCGGATAGTCTTAGTTGTATTGTATTCCCTGAGCTGGGTTGTTTAGCCCTGGAGCTTTCAACTTCTTTTTAGACGACATCATTAACACTAACTTCAGAGAAAACCATACAACCAAGACCATTCAACTGAGATACAAATATTCTTCAACATTTTAAAATCAAACCAGCGTAACACGCCTGATATTGTTCAAAGATGGGAGGACTCCCCCAAGAGGTAAGCTTCCACAAAAGAACAACTATCCTTTCTCTATGAATGCCTACGTCAGCTTGTTCTACCGAAGTGTCAGATATAGACCACATATAGGCTATCAAAAAACATAACAAGTTGACAAAAGAGGCAGGGCAGCGAAGACGGGCCTCTCTCAGGTAAACGTAGAGAAGACGGAGGTGATGAAGATACCCAACCAACAACAGCACCAACAATAAGCACCAATCACCATCAATTGGAGAAGTTCAAAGGAGGTTGTCTCTTTCACCTACACTTACTCAGGCAGCATCATCTCAACTACTACCGGCACACGCACACACGAGGATGTCAAAATTAGGATCGGAAAGACAGCAAGACAGCTATCAGTGTGGAGATCTACTGCACTTCATTCAGCACGAAGAACAAGATCTGGATTCTCAACACCAATTCAGTCAAGTAATGCTGCTATGTGGTTGGCGCGTCACGAAGAGCACTTCCAACAAACTACAGATATTCATCAACAGATGCCATCTACGCTGCATCCATACTGAACATCAGATCAGATGGCCAGAATAATAAGAATAACCAACAAGCAACTGAGGCTGGCAACAAACCAACCAACAACACATCACCCAACAAATATGCAGAAGAATAAAGTGAAGATCGATTGTATTGGACATATACTGAGAAGGCCGATTGGGGACATCACGCACCAGAGCAGGCTAGGCAGTCAAGTGGAATCGTAAGAGGAAACGATGAGTTGGGCGTCCGAGTCGAAAGTGACATGGAGGAGATCAAGTGAGGAAGAAATGAAAGCTTCTGGGCAGTCGTGGTCCCAGGTTGAAATGACTGTAGAGAAGAGAGTGAAATGGAGGCGTGCTACTGAAACTCTATGTTTCACTAGGAACTCAGGGCAAAAATATTATTAATATGAATCGACTGTCTAATGGCATGGAAAATAGCTGAACGAAGTGGAAGACAAATGGTACATTGATGATTACAGATGCACATCATCCGATCCCGAAATACAAATTCATGATTATTAATCAAAATAGAAAGACAGAAAGCATACTGAAGACACAACACATGACAACGTTAACAACACCAACTGAAAAATCAAGCAGACGAGGCAAAGAACAACAAAGAAAACCTCTCAGGAAAAAACTGTCCAAAATCTCAGAAACGCCTACAACCAAGGAAAAAACACGACTGTGCTCCCGACTCATCAAAACAACTACTAACTACATTGGAAGAACTTCTTCAGAAAGGATTGAATTACAACACACAAGATGCCTCGAAACCAGAATTTTTCACCACGTTGGAATCGTCACCCAAAACATCAGAATTAAATAGAATTAATCAGAAAGAAATACGGCAAACAATCGTACCACTGACCAGGCAGAAGAGACATCACGCTCAAACAAACACTCAACAACAAAAAACATTAAAAAGACTGAAGAACAAGGAAAGACATCGTTATACTTCCAGGAGACAAACGACGCACTACAGCAGTCAGCAAGAAAGATGACTACATCAAGAAGGCAGAGGATTTACTCAAAGACGAAAACGTATACCAACCAACTGAAAACAACCTTATCCAAAAGTTCAACAACCAGATCAATAAAAACTTGAACAAAATCTTCAAAGCAGAAGGAATAACAAAGCAAGACAATTGGAGAATGAAATCGAATGGACCTGCCCTTCCTCGGTTCTACGGCAGACCAAAACTACACAAACCAGATATTCCTCTACAACCAACAATCTCACTTCCAGGCACTCCAACATACAACATATCAAGAGAACTTTCGAGAAAGCTGAAACACCTTGTTCAATCAAGCGGACACTCCATCAAGTCATCGAGGGAATTCTTAGAAAACATCAAAAGCATTAATACAGAAAACGACGAATTATTGGTATCCTTCGATGTCACAACACTATACACATTCATCGAAACCCAACTGACCAAGGAAACTATATCCCTCCTAATCAATGAAAACACAAAACTTTCACAATGCACAAAACTTAAATCTTCAAATCTGATGGAAATCATCGATCTTCACCTGACAACAAACTTTCAATTCAATTGCAAGATACACAAACACATGAAACGAACTCCAACAGAGTCACCGATATCCGGAATAATCGCAGAAACCGTGATGCAGAAACTCGAAGATATCACTTTACCCGTGATTGAACAAAAAGATGGATTCGCTATTTAGACGATACTTTTGTCATCATTAAAAATGATGATATAGAAAACACCCACAATTCGATCAACAACGTTTTCAGTGACATCAAATTCACAGTGAATAAGCAGTCAAATAACCAATCACTATTCCCGGATGTTTTAGTCAGTAGGACGAATGGCAGAAAGCTGGAAACCCAAGTGTACAGGAAGCCAACACACACTGACCAAATCCTCAACTACACAGTAGCGGAAACAACCAAACAACGCACAAAATTAGTTACGTCCAGACTCTATTCAAAACAGCAACAACAACAACACAAATACACACACTGCAGTAAAAAAGAACTTCTGTGAAGACACAGAAACGAAGAAAATTAATTCATATCAATTCTAAACAAGAACGGCTACCTACCCATGAAACTTTATCAGATAATGCCCATCCCCTACATCATCATCTACAAAGTCATCCACACTAATCACAACAAGATTACTGACACGACCACATTTGGTGTGTCTCATTAACTAACAAATTCCCTCCAAACACCATTGTGTAGACCAAAGAAAGCAACAAACAAAAAGATAAACCAAACATTATTTACAAAATCAACTACAATAACTGTAATCAACACCACATTGGACAAACTGGTCGCCATATTCACCTTCGTCTACATAAACACTAACTGGCTATTCAACGTCACACACAACATTTCATCACTCATTTCAATCCACATAGATAACAACTATCAACATAAATTCCATTTTCACAATGTAGAAATCTTCGACAGAGGAAACACTAAAAATATAAGAGAATTCCTAGAAATTCGGCATTCAGGTCAGTCAGTAATCAATACAGAGATGTTTAGACATAGACTCAATCTATCAACCAATGAGGAAAAATGATAAATGACAGAAAGGTGAGAGATCGAGTAGAGGAACAGTCAACAGGGAAATCTATGCAGTCCGACGATGACACAACAATCAAAGGAAACAACCAATCACAAACCACTTCGTCAGGGCAGGACACTAAATCGCTCAGGAAGAGATGATGACAGATCACTTCATACTGAAGTTAGTGATGTTGACGTCCGTCCAGAAAGACGATGAAACCTCCACGAATAAACAACCTAGCTCAGAGAAAACAATATAACCAAGAGTGTTGAATGTCACTTTACATTCGCACTCATGTAATATTAAAGTGTATAACTTGTATTGTGTATAGCTTGTTGGCTGTCTTACAAAATGTTTAATGAAATTCCCGCTTCAATCACGGTTAATCAATATTAAGTTGACTATTCTCAGGAGTGAGCAATCAACCCTATAACAGCCAAATGGTTAGGTGAATCGCATGTCAGGCATTTATGAAATCTTCATTTCTCAATACTTGAAGATGATTGCTTGATATCCTACATAACATACATTCTAGTGCTGATAAAGGAAATAGTGATTCAATGCACATACCTGTAAGACTTGTTTATTTTCTTTATCTTCTATTTGTTCAGTATTTGTATCTAATCCAGATGATATCTCCATGGAACAACTAACCTCATGTATGGAACTAACTGTTTTCCATGTCTCTTCCTCTTCTAAGCAATACTGAGATTGTCTTTCAAATGACTGTGGTGAAGTAAGCGGTTGTAGACAGAGTTCATCATATTGTTGTTCTCCTACCTCCACTTCTTTTTGTCCTGTTTCTTCATATTTTTCATCTTTTTCTAATATATCATGTTCAATATTTGACTCTTTGTTGATTGACGTATTTTTCTTAATAGAAGGACATTGATGAATAGGAGGAGATTTTGATGAATCAAATATATTTTGTTGTTTCATCATGAACGGACTGTCAATTTTTATTGATTTCTGTGATGAACCAGATGATATAAGACGAGCATATATAGAACTTGCTGCTTTAGATAAAAATCCAGAAATACCACTATGGTCATTATTATTTGGTGTATTACAATGTGTTTTATCAATGATATTGATGCATTCAGGTGTATTGTATCGAATTTGCTGTGTCGCATTTTCTTTACTATTCATAGCAACATCATTTTGACAACTATGTTCAGGAGTATGGAATGGTTCATAGGTCAATAGTGGGATAGATGATGATGGAATACTTTGAGTTGTTTTGACTAACGTAGTGTGTGAATGCCTTTCTGATTTCAATACATATGTTAAAGATGGGTTAACAGATTTGGAATGCGTGATTTCCGGCGTATTACCTATAGCAGTAAAGATCATTGAATTGTGGTTATGATTTATACTTATACGCTTTCATTGCATTAACTAAGGTCACCATCAACAGGAGAAATCAAAACGAAGTTGTCTCTTTCACCTACACCTACCTAGGCAGTATCGTTTCAACTACAGGCGGGACAGATGAGGACGTCAAAGCCGGGATTGGAAGGACAGCAAGACAGGCATTCATCAGTCTGAAATCAGTGTCCAGATCTACTCCACTGCACTGCATTCCACTCAGCATAAAGCGTGAACAAGATCCGGATTCTCAACACTAATTCAGTAAAGTCACTGCATCTATATGGTTCAGAGACTTGGCGTGTCACGAAAAGCATTTCCAAAAAACTGCAGATGAACATCATCAACAGCTACCGCCTACGCTTACTCGATACTGATACTGAAGATCAGATATCCAGAATAATAAGAATAACCAATAAGCAACTCTGGTCTGGCAATGAACCAACCAACAGAAGTGGAGATCGATTACATTGGACATACACTGAGAAGACCGTTCGAGGATATCACGCACCAGGCCAGGCCGTCAAGTGGAACCCAAATAGGAAACAATGAGTTGAGCAACCGAGCCAAGGGTAACATAGAGATGGTGTGAGGAAGGAATGAAAGCTTATGCTATGGGCAGTGGTAAAGTCAGTTTTAAAAAATTGCAGACAGCAGAGTGAAATGGCGACGTGCTACTAAAGCCCTATATCCCAGGAGGAACCCAAAGTACGAAAAATAATAATACATCACTGAAAAAGTGCTGTCTATAGGCTTCAAATTTTTCAATAAGGTTGACGAAATATATCCGTTATCTTTCAGTTTCTTGAGTGACACGATTAGATCCCTTTTCTGCCTTTTCCGTTACGACTTACAGTGAGTGTAGTTTGTGGAATTTACTTTCGTCTTGCAATATTATTAAATACACTTTCTGTTCATAATTACGACTCCATGATAATGATGTTCTAATTCTTCCCAAGTCTTTTAAAAGCCTCAAAATATTCTCCAGTCAACAGGCATCTTGACTTATTTTTATAGCCTTTATAGTCCACTAGAGTTGAATTAAATCTTTCCAACTCTGCAATCCATGAGGTAATCAAATGATATATATATATTTATATATAGTACACGCGACCCTTAACAAACAATCGAATTTCATGGGGGAACCACAGGTGGCATAGGTTGGAAAAAGCTAACCGAGTCTTTCGTATTCCTGCAGAAATTTCGTCAGACACTGAACCACTAGGGCTGAACCCACTTCCCAGCTAAGTGAAGTGATCAACTCACTCAACCACCACACTCACTCTTTATCATTAGCCGAGGCACTGTTGAAGACCAATCCTCGAGCAACAATTTGCATTTGAATGGTGAGAAACGCATCCCAAACATTATCAAGCTGCCACTCAAAGTGTCGAGAAGACTCTGTACGTTGTCAGCGTCTTCACCCAAAAGGACTATGTCATCTGCATATTCTAGATCTAATGGAAATCCCCCGCGATTAGATCAACCTCTGTGTAGTCAGCTGACGAGAGGGAGACCATCACAAAATTGAACAAAAATGGAGACAGTGGGTAGCGTTGATGGACACCACTCGACGAGCACAGATCCACGCACATCTCATCATAGGCTCTAACATGCCAACAAGTGTTTGAGTACAGAGGTTTTAATAAGGTGATGTACTCACTCGGCATGCCCTTCAGTGAGACACATTGCAATAAGACTTCCCGATCAACGGAGTTGTGTTTATTCACTTGCATATTTGTACTAAATTGACAGAATTCCGAAGAAATCATTTTATTTCTGCAATAGACGAGAATAAATAAAATCCCCAAGTACATCACATTCTAACTACTGTCCAGTGTTCATCAGTGTAACTTCCTTCGAGATGGATAGCCCAAAGTTATTATGAGAAGCCGTGACTTGTGAGTGCGTAAGAGCGGTGAAGCGGAAGTCAAGCGAATGCCAATTGAAAACCGTGGATAGTCACAGCATATTAAAAATCGACAGAACCAGGAAATTGTGGTCTGTTGAACTACAACCCAGTCCCCCAATGGTTGTTAACCTGTTTGATAAGAGACTCGAAGGTGGTGAGTTGGATCTCTGACTGGGTGGTGGGTGCGTCCCATACCGCGACGGAACAACTGTCCAGTCCTCCTAGGTTACCAATAATTCTCCAACTCATGACAGTCTGTCATCATTCCCAACGTCAAAAATATTTCAAAAGTCATCGGCGAAATCCAAATGTTCTATGTTCTTCTCCGCGGTTGGTTAAGTAATATTTTGATCCTACTCCTTTAGGACTACTCAAGAGTATCACACGAAGGATAAAGTTGAATCGTAAACATTCGAAGATGAATTCCGTCGTCTGACACAATTGATGTGTTCAAACTCTATCAACTAAGGTTGTTATAATACAAACTACCTCATGATTTTACAAATACTGTTGATATTGTACAGCTTTCACATGATCTGAAGAACTAAAACGTCTGTAATTACGGTTACGAACAATAAAGTTTTAAACCAAATAGTAGTAGCAATACTAATAAAGACAACAATAAATACCTCCAATCACTTGAAACTTTTAACCAGACTATCTTTACCCTATCAAATTGTTTATCAAACAGCTGAGAACAAAAAACTCTACCAATATAAACATGTACGCTTGTTCAATTTACAATAAATTATTCAATTTTCTATTGATTCTCTACCAAAAATAAAATATTCTTTGAAAAGAAATCCAAAAACAGAATAAACAATCATGTACAGACTAAGTGTATTGATTAGTGTATTGCGATACACCTTAGTCTATCATAACACTCCCCTATCTCAAGGCCTAACTAAACATGAAAAACATATAGAGAACGAACTGCATTCATAAATATATACCACACAACTAAAACAACTCAATAGTTCCCCAACTGATGTCAGTTCTTGATGAATATTACCTTGAAACAAAATTGATCCACACAAACCTCAACAGTGACACTTTTAACACAGGTTTCCAGAAATTCTAAAGAAAAGCCACCACCAGAACTGCAGGTTCTCCAACTTTGAACTCCAACCCACTGACTCAATGGCAACAAGCTACCCAAGTAACTATAGCTTATCAATAATTCTCCAACTCGTGACAGTCTGTCATCATTCCCAACGTCAAAAATATTTCAAATCAAAATATAAACCTTCAACTATACTACAAGTATGTCATGAAAAACAAAAATGACTGAAAAAAGAAAAACTCAGCAATCATTCACGGTGAGTCAAAAATCACCAATCAAAAATCTACTGCTACAATTAAGTACCATTCTCGATAAAATTCTCTACAGAACTATCAAAAATGATTCTTCAGCATTTAAGGCACACCGAAGTGATATCTGCATTTTTGGTGAGGACTCTGAATTTATACTAACTGAGATATCCATTAAGTCATTTTCAATTTCACATATTGCACACACTTTCCCTACGCTCATCTTGGTCTTAATCATTTTATTATGTCCTCTCGTGGCACTATATATTCACGCACATTATTAAAACGTTTATACCCCACAGTGATACTTTTAACAAATAAAACTCACGAAAAAGCGTCACAGTCAACAGTAACATCCTTTCAACTGAATAACTTTATACATTTGTCAGATGAATAAGCATTGCAAGTTTGATATCCTTCGAAAAACTATTCAAAACCTAGAACGAATGGACACCTGTTTCGTCTTACTATGCCACTCTCCAGCAGGGACTCAACAATAAAATCCCCATTAATCTAAAAAGTACATCATTATATAGTCCTCATTAGTGGCATGCTTCCACATGGATATCACGAAGTTTTAATGAGATGTGACCTATAGGGTAAACCAGTTACCAAGGAAACGGATGTCAACAGAAAATCTTGGGTGATAGCTGCGCTATATCATGAACTGACAGAGGTTGGAAACCGTGAACCACTGATTACCGACCCAATGGCTGAATGGTTAGGGCGTTCAGCGTGAAACCCGAAGGTCCTGAGTTCGATCCCTAGTCGGGTCGTGGTTGCGTACTGCTGAGGAGTCCCATACTAAGACGAAGCAGCTGTCAAGAGCTCACAGGTCCTCAATGATTCTTTAAGTGATATCAGTCCATGATTAATCCTACCTATAATATATAATTGTTGAAGAACTAAAATAATGACAATGCTGACAGATATTACAGGGAGCGATTTATTCACCCTAAATATATCCATCTTACAAAAATCAGTAGATGATATAGCAATCAATTATTTCAACTTGATCAAAGTCCACCTGTCGGATCGTTGATTTGTTTACTAAACTAAGTGACATGATATTGCAAAGCACTGTACTTTCATGCTAGAAGTCAATTGGTATAAAGTCCAATTTTGTCTAGATTCTATGTTTACTAAAGCTCATTTCCAACACTAAAGAAAGTAGTGTTCCTACCGAGATTCGAAGTTATACCATTCAGCATCTGTTTCAGATATACTCTACCATCAAACCAACCACATCATAGAGGAGCTTTTTACATACACGAATTGACTATCTAATGAAGTTTGAAATTATTTCCGGATCCTACGCAGTGATCGAAGTTCATCGAGCAAATGTGAAATTCAATCGTACAGAGTTAATTATGGCATGAGCACTGACTGATTCAGTGCTGCGATTTCGCATTTTCAAAGAAATATTAACCTCAAGGCTATATATATATATATATATATATATATATATATATATATATATATATAATCCTAATGAGTCCCAGTAAGCATAAAAGTAGGTCAAGTGCTTCTTCCCGACAGGAAAACCACATCTAATACACCATATTAAATACACAGAACAATGATACTACTGATTACGGCATAAGTAAACAGAATACCATTCACACGGAGAAGTAGCAAGGTTTGACTAGAAGACTCTGAAAAGAAATTCGCTTGATCATTCATAAGCTTATCTATTAAGTATTTCGATTCCGAAACATGAACCATTCATTTCTATCGGATCCA